GTATCAATACAATAAATAAATTCACGAAATATACACACAAAGTAAACTAATTATTTATGTGAAATTGAGCCACCAGGGCCAGCTTTATTGATATAAAGTAGATATATCTATAAAATAAATATTTTTTTTTATACTTACCTATAGGATAATAAATGTCGGGATAATGCTAAAATCGGATAATGCTGAATTTGGGGTCTCAATTTAAAAATATAAATCTGACTAAAACCCACCTATATACTCTTTTATTATAAACACTAACCTAACCTAACCATAAAAAAAGCTAAAAAAACACCCCTAAAAAACTTTAAAATTTCTTATAAATATAAGTTAAAATTTCAGCATCATCCGATTTTAGTATCATCCCCGATAATAAATAAGCTTGTTCTAATGCCTGCATTAGTTATGGTGATCGTGGAGTTATTAACTCTCCATCATAAAGAGGCACATCTTCTCGAGCCTGTGGAGAACAAATAGCTATATTATATAAAGATGAATCGACTTTTTCTATAATTTCATTAAGGGCACGGATATGGTTCCGTAGAGTTGCCTACATATTTAAAAATTCTATTAATTAACCAGTACATGTACTGTATATATCAATTTTCTATGTTTCATTAAAAGATGATAGTCTTACTCTCAACTTCCACAATTCATTCATAAATTCGGTAAGTGAAGACTGTCCCCGATTCATCGGAATTTGTACTGAGGCAAGACGTTGAACAAAGTAGAAAGCACCAAATGGCATAGTCATAACCCAACATGCCAAAGTTCCACCTAAAACAGAAGGGGTTATTTCTAAGTAAAAAAAAAGATCGAATATGATATTACGTACCAGCAACTTGAATGCCAAACACTGGAACCTTATTAAGCTCTTCTTCTAAGCCTTTCATTTCCCCTGCTCTTCCTCTAGTAAGCTTCCTCAACAATCTCACATGGGCATCCTTCATAAGTTTTATCAACTTATCCCAGTCTTCCCGAATTTTTTTATCAGTAGGAAGAACTCGTGAAGCTTCCATAAGACATATTTCCACTTCATCAACTATTAATGGTGACTTTATCCGAAAATCAGGCTTATGCCCAATTCTTGTTTCCCCGGAATCATCCATCCGACGTTGGGATGCTTCCGAGACTTCTTCAGCCCTGTTATAATATATAATACATTTTTTTATTTTATATAAACAAAACCCATATCCTTTATTAAATAATATTTAAAAAAATACCAGATAATTTTAAGTTTGGCATTTTCATAGCAGAATAATGGATCAAGAAAGCTTGATACTATTCGAACAATATACGTTCCCTCCGTATATTCAGCCTTATTTTCGTCTTTAAAGTGACACCAGATATGTCGTCTACAAAAACAAAAAAGATCAGAAATTGATTGATTTACAGGTTGAGAAGCTTAATTACCTACATTGAATCTATAATTCTATACATCACACATATATCTTCAAATTCCTCATCATTTCCTTGAAAGTTCATCGATATAGGCGGAAGAGAAACCATCATCTCTCTTTTGTTTAAACTTTTCGATCTTTCTAATAGAACTTTAACCAATTCAGAAATAATTGGACTCATTTCAAATTTATGATATGGTAAATCTAAGATTTCTCTTAAATTCTTTCTCTGATCTTCCGGTAACTTTCCAAAAATCATATCAGAGTCTCTATCGATAATACAACCAAAACTAAGAGGATCCGTCCATTCAATATTATCGACACCATATGATTGAAAGAGGCTCCTTAACTCATATAGTAACAACGAATATGGTGATGTTTTCTCGCGTATTAAATCGTTCTACAAAAAAAAATATATCGAATCAGGAAAAATAAAAACTTAGAATAATTTATATACTGAATATATTACCAATCGTTTCTCAATTTTTTGCTTGTTTGATGATACTGGGTTTATTTCGGTTGAGCTTATGAATTTGAGAGAAACCTATAAAACATGTAGAATATATTTAATGCCAGTAATAAGATATAAAATAGTTATATTACCCAAACTAACAATTGATTCCATAGCATCGACCGTTGAAATATACTGAGTTCTTTGCCTGCCCTTTAAAAATAAATAGATATTGTAAGTTAATATATGAAAATACTTTATCACGCTTATGATTGTACACATTCAATCAGATCGTTCATACACCACGAACGGCCATCGGGGCCCAAACCTCAGTGTGAGTCGGTGGTGTAAAATCCATTTGCAGGATAAACGAACGAAATGTCATCATATTTAATATTATGGGTTGAGTAAATTATTCAAACAATATTTACGTCTGTAATTTTATCAAATCCTTCATAAGCTTCTCGAAGAATAGTACTAGACTTGGCGGTGTGACGCAAAGCTTTCTCACAGGCCAGCTTATATATTTGAAATGTATCACTCATACAACCATATCGTCCACCATTTGCATTAATTGTATATCCGAACCATGAAGCAAAACGCACTTTTCTGGCTTTATCGCAATTATTCTCCAAGTACCCAACACCAAAATCTTTCCAGCCAAGGTACTTATATTCCTGTTCCATTATTATACGAAGTTGCGAATAGATTGGTTAGCTTGAAAAAAAGGAATTAAAGCGTGTAAAGGAATCACTAAAAAGTGACAAGTAATAACGAAATCTCTATACTGCCCTTTTATATGTTTTTCTTCACCTCTTTTCTGAAGCTTGAAATGTTAGAAAGGTTAGTTGGAAGCAAAAACATGTGTTCTTACATCAAAAAATCTCTACGATACATGCAGGGAGATTTTATATAGAGCCATGTAAGGTTAAAATCGCTAAAAATAAGACTTTAAGGGACTTGATACTCCGTCATACATACATACATTGTGCGCATTTAGGCCAGGTAAGGTTAAATGTAGATGTGGCATGAGTTAATTGACCGACTTTGGTTAGGGACTAATTCCGATAAATGGCAATTTCTACTTTTGACCCGTCTCACAAATAAGTTATGCATAACGATAAGCCTTGCAAGGTGATACAGATAAATTTTGCGGAATTTATTATAACACGTTAGATTGGAAAAAATTATCTACCGTTATACGTAACAATAAATTTTTTATCGCATTCACACTGCTTATATATTCCATTCACTACTTTTTTGCACGTTTTGCAGTATAGATGTGAATGATGATTGCATTCGTCACATACCTTATACCTGTGCTTCCACCCTTTAAAGATATGCCACTTTTCGATATAATTTTGTTTATATATATTATTCGAATTTTTCATTATTATTTATTTAAAAAAAATAATATATACGTGGTTAAATTTTTTATACAAATCCGCTGTCTTATAAACAAATTATAAGCCTCATATGGTAGATAATTGTAATAGATAAAAAATCTTGAATAAACCTATTTAAAAATCGAATAATAACAATAGATAAAAACTTTATTAATTTTATAGGCTTATGAAGTAAAAAAATAGATATCGATCCTGACCTCAGCGGTCAGGACATGTGATCCCACGTGACTGGCACAGTAGATTATTTTTTCTGTATTAAAATACTAAGTATAATATTATCAATATCCTCCTTCCTTAATTTGGAAATAGTCAAAGCACTGAAAGATTTAACT